TCATCCAGAACTCTGAAGGTATTCATTTTCAAGAGCTCCATCGGTCACAAAACAGAACTGCTTGCCAAGTTGTGAGGAAAACCTTCAAGCACCCTTAGGAGTCCATCTGGATCTCTCTTATCTCTGGGGCAGATTCATGATCTGTGTGGCAGTCAAGGGTAGCTATGAGGCACAGTTTAATGGGGATGTGTTTTCACCATGGCAAAGGACAAATATTAAAGTCTTTCATCTCCAGATCATGTCTCATCTGCTCTGAAATAAAAGCCATATCATGTGCAAACTTTACAATATGTGTGGGGCTTGAAGGTTTTCCTCACAACAGGAATTTGTGAAAGGCCCTTGCAGGGCAGCTAGGCAGTCAATACACCAAGAATAACCCTGGCCTATCTTTCTCACTCGATTCCATGTAAAGGCACTCACAACTGGTTGCATCTGGGCAGTGCTCCTGGTCTCTATTAACATATGTAATTGTATTCATTATTATATTCATTATTATTATGACATTTCATTTACATCCCACCTGTCTGATAAAGGCTCAAAACAATATACATACTGGATCTTCCTTCACTTTATCCCCATAAAAGAATCTCTGACAGACTGATTGAGTTGAGAGTTAATGATTGGCCCAAAATCATCTACTGAATACCATGGTTGAGTGAGGACCTGGGTGTCCTCAGTTCCATTTAGAAGCTTGAAACATTATGCTATACTGGTTCTTAATGTTGGATTTAGCCCAACTACAACCGGTAAAGAGAAAAAAGTATGTGACAAAAGTAACCTACCTAAAGAGTTTGGAACAAGGCTCATGATTATGGATTTCTGCAAGAAAAAAACAGTATTTGTATGACTCTGAAAGCTAAGTTAAAGCAATATGTCCCTAGCCCACATAAATATTTCCAAATTTATATAAGCAGTGAATACTTCTGCATTTTTCCCAGAACATACAAGGATTTAACATTTATTAATAACTCCTGATGAACACAACTCTGCAAGATTGGCAGATGTAATCACTTTTTAAAATGAATGTATTAAGTAAAGACTTCATTAATATTGCATGCCCACAGAGGTTTCTTCAACAAATTGTTTAAATTAGTGGATCACTGAGGAAATACAACAGGAAATTACTCTAAAGATAATCAAGCAAAATAGATATGTTACCAAACTTTTAATGCAACACATTTGCCTTAGGAACTGGTTCCGAATTCCTAATATTTTCAAATTATCTCTCAAAATGTGCTAGGAGCCACAGTCCCACTAAGGGCAGATATGGGGGAGAACTATCCCCCCAAAAGACCACCTGAAGTTGAAGGTATGCCTGTTAGGACTATGTGAACTGCTGAGCCCTGCCAACTATGCAGAGCCAATAGCCAGGAAATTTAAAACAGAGTAGAGGATGAAGGGGGTGGGTAGAGACAGAAGAGCCACTGCTGTTGTGAAGCTGTTCTTTCCTCCATCAAGAGAGGTAAGCCAGCATACTACATCTCTAAGCCTTCCATCAAGAGCAGACTCTCTGAAAACCTCTTTGTAACATCTCTCAACTTGGCATCTCTCAAGTCTGTCTCTGAAGATATGGTAAAAGCCTTTACAAAATACAAACAATTCTGACTCAATTTTAAACAAAGTTGGATAAGAGAGGCATTGACATTCCTATTTCTCCCTCCATTTTTGCAGAAAAAGCCAACTTAATCACTTTCAGAATTAGTGTTCAATGCACCATGGATCTGTTGACCTGGAAAAGTTGCATGTATTTAAGTATATGTAGTCATATTCATGACTTTGCATGTATTAAATACCTGAGACTTATTACCATATACTTTCTATTCAACAGGATAAATCAAGTAGCACTGCTTGCTTCCTGCCAAAATACTTCATGGATTCACATTAACTTGACTTTGTGATCAAAGAATGCATAATCTAATTTTTTACTGTGGGAGCTGCCTAGAGTCGCATATGCGAGATGGGCAGATATACAAATTGAACAAATAAACAAACAATCATGCAATCTATGACAGTATAATCTTAAATAAATGCAATATTACATTGTACTGTCAGAGAGAAATTTAATAGCACTTACCAATTACTTGCAGAAATTCAGTGTTGCTGATCTGAGAGTCACTAATACTGAATGTCTCCTCTTGTCTTACCTCTCCTAATAAAAATCCTTCCTGTAAAAAAGGAAGAAAAATATTTTGATTAAAGGTAGGAAAATAGCAACTGAACTCATTTGTTTTTTCTTTCCCTTATGCATTTTTTATAACTTCACACAATTAGAAATGCTATATCTTTATGCCATTGAGAAAATTTAACAACAGAGCAATATGCATTAATATAAAAGTTATGAGGGATAAATCTGCACTCCAGACACAGATCCATTCCCCATGGGATGGACATAACTCAGTCTATCCAAGTATGAAAAAATTGTGAACTGAGCTGATTCTCTAAATCTCACAGTCTGAAAAATTAATGGACTGCCTTGAGCATACTTTGGAAATGCATGAAACCTTGTCGTATAACACTGGATGTAGCCCCCGATAGAATCCAACAGTTTCCAAGAGAGTTGTTTCAATCTAAAAAAGTTTAGGCACATGTATTTTATCCATTAAATAATTGTTTAAAAACTTGCACTATTAGTTTTTGTGGAGCTAACCACCCATGTGGAATTTAATGGCCCCAATTACACTTAAAATAAAGAAAAATCTACATAGACAGAAAAGCAAGTTTGGGAGTTAGGGGTACTCTCTTCGTATGTAACCATAAAAAAAGTTAAAAAGCAAACTATACAATATAGGCAAAAGCATGATGGAGCTAAGACATACATGTGTACAAAATGCCAAGTTCTATAAACCACTTACTGCTGGTTTACTTCTGGACAAATTAAGCTAGCATTGCACTCCCAAACTGATATGGCAATATTATTTCTTCCTAATAGTAAGAATTTCAAATCTGTTATTACTGATAAATATATAAAGCTCACTTTAATAGGTGAAATCCTTTTAAACTATACTGTAAGAGTTATAATACTGGCACGTATTACCATCTCAGGCGGCAATGCTCATTTAGTTATTCAGTTTGGTCAAATGTTTTTCAGGAAACTGGAAAAACTACTCAACTGCAAGTTCACTGCTCATATTTTCTAAGAAATGTAAAACATTAACAACGAAGGAAATCTGTTAACTACTAAACTTACTAATGAAAACAATGGTAAACCAAAGTGCATCTTTCTCTGGATCCATGTTGTTTAAAAGTGTGGAGAATACCACCAGCTGAAAGTGTCTTGGAAGAACTCCTTAATTAATGATTGATGTGTTTTCACATTTGTTCTCTATTTTAATTATATATATAAAAATAGTCTCAAATAGTCCACGTATATCTATACAAATGTCATTTCTGGATAGAAGTACTGAATATAAAAGATTAAAATCATTGCATCTCATGATTTTAATGTTTGCATTCTGCGTCTTCTTTTATTACTTGGTTCTTTTTATCTCCAGTATTTTGATATGGTACTATTTGTACAAATAAAAAGGCAAAAAGAAAAAGATATAATTTCTTCTGTGAAGAATAGCAGCGATTAACGTTTCAAATAAACAAAATAACGTTTTTTTCTAAATATATCTTCCCTTTTGTTTCAAATTATAAACTGAACCAATTCTTATGGAACTTCATCCAAGCAGAAAGTCAGGACAGCAGGAAGGTCAACAAGTGCTATTTAGAACCCTGGAATGGTACTTAAAAAATATAGAATACAATTCCCTCACACTGACCTTAACTCCTGATGACTACACAAGAATATTCATGTGATTTGCCACTGACTTCTTTTAAGATTCAGCCTATTCTTATTTTCTGTTGGTCTCGCATCTAAATTTTAACCAGGCCTGACTCTGTTGAGCTTTTTTGTGATCAGTCATAATCCAGCTAGATACAACCATCTGCTGTGATGGAATGGTACTTAAGAGACAAACTGAAATGCAACTTAATCAAGTCACTGTAGTGACAGATTCACTTATATTTGAGTTCCTCATCAAAGTTCATATTTGTCAGATGACAATTATGACAGTTTACAGTATCAAATATAATTGGTTATATGAATAAACCAAGGTGTTGGCATGCTACAATAATCATGAATAACTTGTCAGACAGTTTCCTAAAATTCCATCAAATGAATTGATGTTCCATAAAAGACTGATACCATTTACATATATCCACACACAAACTTTACTTTTTAAAAGTAACAAATGCCTTAACCATTGCACATTTAAGAAAAAATATAAAGAATAACGGGATTTTGTGACTTGTTTCAAAATGATGCATTTCTACATCAGAATACAAGCCAAACTGACATATTAAAACAGAACCATGTAGGCCCCTTCATAATTGTTGCCTTGTATTGGTCAAAAGATTTGATACAACCAGAACAATGTCAACATGCTACTGGTAGATGAGCACTCTAGGTAGGACGATATTCAAAAAGCTATTGGGGAATAGTAGAGGCACATAGCACTGGTGTTTATGATGTGGCTGTACTGAAGCCAAACAAACAAACAAACAAATAAATAACCCACCTGCAAAGGTAGAAAGAATATTTGATACTGCAAGGATATATGTTCATTTGATAAGTGGAATATCGGAACTATAAAAATAATTACAGAATTTTAGAAAGAAATATTATAGTTATGAACTTTAACATGATGTTCAACTATATTCCTAAAACATGGAATATGTCATCTCATGAAGAGCTTTGGCTCTATTGAGCCTGAGGCATTGCAAAGAGGATAATTTTATGTAAATGGAAAGAATCCTGATGTTAAGGAATGGATCCAAACTATAACACTTGATCAGAGATTTGTCCTGTTTTAAAAATGACATGAAGCAATATGTTTCCAAATAATCTAGATCTAAAGATAAGCTAAAGGATTTAATTAATTTTATATTGATATTATATGGATCATTTCTCCTTTTCGTTATTTTTCTTTTTTGTCACAGTTCATTTTAATCACCATAATGTATCTATTTTTTTAATTAATTGCAAAACCACTACATATGGGGGGGGGAAGAAAGAGGTTTTGCAAATAATTGTTCTGTTGTCTTTTTTGTATGTTGCTATTAATGCTATTAATATTATTTTAAAATATTTTAAAATATTAT